CTTTATTGTTGAGTAAATAGCCATTTATGTAATGACATTTATGTTGTGGCCGTTTTGCATAAATAGTCATTCTGAAGAGTTGCACCTCTTCAGATTTCAGTCCAACTTTGGATATAAATACAAGTCTATTCTGCTCAGAATTTCCATACGAATTTTCTGAGTTCTTCTCCTTTCTTCTGCATATTTTAACTGCAAAGAAAGCAATCGTAAGTGTGATTTGCTACTGAACTTTGTGTCCGCTGAAACACTGGGGTTTGAAGCACCACTATACCAGTGTATAATTCGTTCTATCCTGGGAGGAAATAATCCATAATCTTGGGTACTAGAAGGGGATTAAATTCCTTAAGGAAACACAGTAAATTTAGTGGCTCGAATTGGTTTTTGTTATTTCGTTTACATTTCTGTTTATGTCATTTTATTTTCTCCAAAATTGTTTTACAAAATACAGTATACTAACACATACTTGGAAAAGAGTTTCAAAAACTGTTGGGAAGGGCATTGGAAGCCTCAAAACAAAGGCCAGGATGTGTTTGATGATAAAGGGAGACTCATGGGATACGTGAAAAGTTTAAAGTACATCCCCGCTAACAAATCATGCGTTTGAATGGAGAATGGTTTTTTCACTAAAGCAATATGATCTAATATGTTCAAAGAAATCCGATCACAATTTAATTTAAATAATATTTTTTTAAATATTAATCGCGCATCGCGCGAGTATGACTACTAGTATACGTATATAGAAAGAGAATTCCTGCACTTGATTTTTAGAAGGTTTCTTAATTGAAAAGAATAATATCTTAAACAACAACAATAATAGCTTTCTTAGTCCTAGTCAAATTGAGGTCTAATATATGAATAATATCTTAAACAAAAATAGAAAAACCAACGTACCAAATTTACCCTTACACATTGCATTTTGGAAAAGAGGTACTCCCTAGTTCTAATTAGTCATTACATATATATTCGAAATCCACTCTTGACAAATATAACACTATAAATCTAGTAGATTTACAAGCTGTATTTCATGATGAATGATACCAATATATCTTCGATATTCTTCATATTTTATATTTTGAATCACAATATATAACAACGATATAGAAAGAAACTATTTAGGTTAATTAACATAAGAATGTTCTACATTATATTAATATTGTTAGATTGGATAACTTGGTCTTTGCCTATCTCTAAATCATGCTAAATTAACGTAGATTTTACCTTTTTATTTTAATTTTTATATAATGATAATCTAAATGGACGTGTTAACAACTTAAAATTGGTCTTGGATTTAAACCATCTTTAACTTTCATTATGTTGTTTATTAGGGAAAAGGGTCGATTAAGGTTGAATTTTCTTTTGCTTGAGTTGACTTGCCTTTTTTTTTTTTTAAGTATTGGCAAAGGGGAAAATGTGGACTGAGTCACTGAGTGATGGGGAAGTTCGAAACTTGCACCTCTGAATACAAAGGTTGGATTTCTAACGAGCTCCTGACAACTCATTATTGCATGTTACGTTGTTTTGTTATTATTATTAACTGTTTATGTTGATACTTATAACTCATTAAATTAATAGGGTACGTAGAAAGCAATATGTTATCACTGTATATGAGTTCTTCATAATTGCAAAAGAAGAAGAAAAAAGGACGTCTTGGTTCCTAAAATAAACTTTAGGGTATGATAAAGAAGACTATTATTATGCTTAATAGAGTACTTTACCCTCAAAATTGGGTTCAGTCAATACCTAACAACAAATATATGGGGTGGTTCATTTGTCAATATATATGTACAACAAGAAATCACATTAAATGAATATTCTTATTTCCCGCGCAGTTCAATTATTTCCTAATAATAACCCCATGAATTTTAAAAATAAAAGTAACTCTTAATTTTCTTACTTATGATTCTTTTTTTTGTTGAAAAAAAAAATAGGAATGACAAATAATTTTGTTAGGGAAAATTTACAAAGTAGTCCAAGGAAGAGGAAAATTGACGAACTTAAAATCTGATATTCAAAATACACATAGATTATCATTTATATAAAAATAAATATTACTATAAGATTAGGAAACAAAACTTGCTTACGTATAAGGAAATATTCCCTCGTTCACAAATCTTTTTGAACTAGGAGACAGAATTATTAAAGAAAAGGAAACTTAAAGCCATATATCAAAAAATAGATTTAGAGAAACACTAAACATTCCAAAAGGAAGAAATTAGTGGACGAATCACAAAATAGATATAAATAAAGGAAATAAGAAAAGCTAGTGCATTCTGAGTAATAATATATGCTAACAGAAAAAATGGGGAAAATGCAAAAAAACGTATGGAAAATATATAGCGATGGATCACGATCCTTCTCCACGTATTGTATCCAATCAGCAGCTTCCAGGAAAAACCCTAAAAGAAATAAGGAAACAAATCATGCATGAAAAATAAGCTATATATCCAACTCCACCCCCCAGATAGCTATAAATATAGAGTACCTCAAAACTCAACCATCAATTCATAGCTAGCTACTGTATCTTAGTAGGGTTTCCGCCATTCTAATATTTCTTCCTTACTCATATATTCATCAAATATCAATCTCTTATAACTTGTTTCTTCGCAGCAGTAGTACTGTTCATTAATGGAGTATTCTCAGGCTAAGTGTTTTTCTCGCCCGATGGGTTATCGCTTTCATCCGACGGGCAGGGAAGTGCTCAAGTATCTAATAGGGTTTGTGAGAGACGAGCCACTTCACTCTCAGAATGAACTCATGCAGGTGGCGGATCTCTACGCCGACAAGGAGCCATGGCAGATTTTCGAAGCTTATGATCAGGGAAACAGCAACAACAACACTCGTTACTTCATAACGCCGCAGAAGAAAGAGAAGCCAACGTGGAAAAGAGTTTCAAGAACTGTCGGGAAGGGCACTTGGAAGCCTCAAGGCAAAGGCCGAGAGGTGTTTGATGATAAAGGAAGACTCATGGGATACGTGAAAAGTTTGAAGTACATCCCCGCTAACAAATCGTCAAACAATGTGAACGGCGAATGGTTGATGACTGAGTACTCTTTGTTTGATCGTTATCTGGCTGCTAGGGAGATTAAGAACAAAGGTTTCGTAATTTGTAAGATCAAGAAGAAGGGCAAACCTGGTGACAAGAAAAAAGGAAACAATATTGATGAGGTAGTTAATGATGAGAATATGAGAGATATTGAAGAATTTATCAACACCGACGTTCAAGTTTTAGACAATGGTATAAGGTCGAATGGTACTATAGCAAAGCTGGATGATCAAGAGAATAATATTATCCAATATGTAGAGGGAGATCAAGTTAGAGACCATGTACTTGGTTTATTGGACGATATTATTGTTGATGTGGATGATCATGAGGAGAACGTTGAAGATTGCCTAGATCAGGGGGATGAAGTCCAAAAGCAGTTACTTGAAGAATATATTGATTCCGTTCTGCAATCAGAAGATGTTCCAGCTGAAGATATAGCAAAAGATGATCAAGAGAATATGGAATACAAAGTCGAAGACCATCAACATGCTACTTTGTGGGCTTCTGCGGAAGATGTCGATCTGGATACTATCAATTTCTATTTGCCAGAGGATGAGGAGATTCATTTTTGCTAGGGCAGTTTAGTTAATTTGATCCCAGCTAACTCTTAGATAAAGTTACAAACCTGTACTGCAATATGATTTATCAATATAATTTGAATTAATTTCCTAATGTTTCTGTAATACTAGTTTTTAACTAGCTAGTGACATATGGTCGCCATATTGAAGATGGCCGTTGATAGTTTATGTAGTACTGCTGAAAACTTAATACTACTGAAAGTTCTGCCAAATTTTTTGTTATTCCTGTTTTTCTCTCAGAGAGATAGTGCTCACTTATAATATTTTGGCGTCGATTTCCTGTTTTAGTTGCCTAGTTCAGTTGGAGTATTTAGTTTTGAAGATTATGTACTAGCTCATTTTGGGAAGTAGTACTAGTCTTTCTTAATTAATTAAGTATGCCCTAGCTCTTAATTAATTGGTTGGTGTTACTGTTACCGCTTGTTAATGTTCTACCTTACATTAAAGTCAGAATTTTCCCCAAGTTTTTCTGAATAGTGGTAACCAATACTCCTACTAGTATGGAATAACAAACAACAGGAAGATTCAGGGAGTTAGCTGCAGAAAGAGTGTTTCTTTTCTTATAGTCATGATATATGTGTATAAGTGGAAAATCCACCATCAAACATTGTGGATGTATGTCATCCTCCACTCTTAGCCACCACTCTTAACCAGAGGTCTTGGGTGTTTGAGCATGAGAAACTTCTAGTAGGTTGAGCTCATGGGCCGAGCTAGGGTGGGGAAAGGGCAAACCCTCTTCGCGAAAATTACATTATGTGTATATATGTAAGGTTAGAATTTGATGTAAATAGTTTTTATGTTTTTCACATTTATCAATGTACTAGTCTTTGAAGATTCAAATACAAGATTCGGATATCAGATTTTTGCTACAGAGAAATGTAATTTCTTTTGGAAAGTTAATAATGTAATTATTTTAATTCAGAACTATTTGATGGTCATGTACTTTGGGGGATGCTTATTTAAGAAAGTGTAGTTCACTTACTTTTGCTGGATGCTGCAAACCACATATATATAATACATACTTCAGACGATCGAAGAGAATTTGGATGTGGAAGATGAGTCAGAATCATTAGTCATGCTAATCAACTGATAATTCAAGCATGCATTTGGGGTCTGTACAAGCAGCACTAATTAGCAGTTTTGATCCCATAAGGCTATCATAAGCGAGTACTTTTGATTTTCGTCGAGTATACAATAAACTATAATTGTTATTTTAATGAAAACTGCGAAAAGGGGAGTTAATATTGAATCACATTTAGAAGTGTATATTTTTGCAATTTCGGCTATTTTTGACTTATTGCAGGATATGGTGTAGCTTTTTGAGGTGCACTCTCTGCTATTTTAAAAGTTATTTATAGTGTCTTGTGCACTTTTTGATTTTGCGACTTCTGGATTTAACAAGTCCATCCCATTGAATTATTTAGTCTAACTTGCATTAGGTATATGATAACTGAATTTTATTTTTCTTAATCAATCATGCGGCCTGAAGATATGAAATACATATATATCATGAAAGGAGTTAAATTTTTCAAAGTGAATGTAGGTTATAAGTGGCATTAAAGTCGATTGTGATTATCTGTGAATTTAAGCTCATTCATTGGTTCGACTTTCAAACAAATTATTAACTTTTTATTGTTTAAAGGATCAAATACTAACTACTTATTTATTTTAGTCTGGAAGAGGTGTGATATGCTTATATTGCAAAAGGAGGATTAAAAAAGGAAGGATAAAAGTCTAAAACACGTCGTTGTTGCTCTCTTGTTTTCATTTTAACTAGTTTTATACTTATAATATTTTGAGTAGTAACCCTACAACAACAACAACAACGGCCCAGTATAATCTTACAAGTGGGGTCTGGGGAGGGTAATATGTACGCAGGCTCGGTGCATCAGTGCTCCTCCTGTTAATGTGCCCGAACCATCGGAATCTTGCTTCCCGCATCTTGTCCTCCATGGGGGCCACGCATCGGAACCTTCTCTTGAATTTCTTCATTCCTAATCTTATCCATCTTTGTATGTCCGCACATCCACCTCAACATCCTCATCTCTGCTACTTTCATCTTCTGGATGTGT